TTCTTCAAGAGGTTCGACAGCCCGTGACATTGAGAGAATTTATACCCAAGGGGTATTTAAGTGACGATACTGATAATTCCACTTCTTGTAATGTCGTCAAAGCTGAAAATCCTCAAGACACACAAATTGGCACTGAATTTGAGAAAAAACTCAAAGTCGATGATAAACCACCGGTGAATTGTGCGACGACCATCATTTTTGATGATGACGATTTAACTATTGAGTTCAAGACCCACAATCGACCTTTGTTTGTTAGTGCATATGTTCGAGAACAAAAGATGAATCGGATACTCATTGATGGGGGATCTGCCGTCAATATCATGTCCGTACGTGCTATGAAAGAGTTAGGAATCTCAAGTGATGAACTCTCCCAGAGCCGCCTCATGATCCAAGGATTTAACCAAGGGGGGCAAAGAGCAATTGGTCTCATAAGGCTTGAATTGCTCATTGGTGAGCTGTCTTCAAGTGCGTTATTTCATATTATTGAAGCCAAAACCTCTTATAACATGCTCTTGGGAAGGCCCTGGATTCACGAGAATGAAATTATACCATCTACTCTGCATCAATGTTTCAAGTATTGTCGAGACGGTATTGTTAAGAAAGTCACTGCCGACGACAAACCGTTCACGGAAGCCGAAACTCACTTTGCCGACGCCAAATTTTATCTTCACAAAGAAGCAAAAAGAAAGGAATCGGTGAGGGAAGAAAGTCAAGATTCCAAAGTACCCATTTTGCGGTATACTCCAAAATCAAAGAGAGAAGAAGGTCAGTCTTCTTTTATCAGAAATGACACATTAAATGTTCCGCTCACCAAGATAGAGCCTGTCAAAATTGAGAAGGTGAGCTTGCAAGGGTTTGTCCGTCCCAAAGAAGAATCGGCAGTGGAACATTACTCGCTACCAACTAATCGGACTCAAGAAGGTTTTGATCCAAACGCCTATAGATTTCTTGCTAAGGCGGGTTATAACCCAAATGAGAAGAATACATTGGGCAAACTCCCTCCTGAAGTGACTGACGAGAAGACTCACGGATTGACACCTACGCAGAAAATATTGAAAGAAAAGGGTTATAATGTTGAAAGTTCATCGATGGGTCTTGGTTATCAACCGCCCTCTCCTGTTCGTATAATGATCAAAAGAGCGAGTTGTAACTATGTGAACGAAGAAATGGAGGTCACAAGCCGAAGGAGATCTGTGTTCGATAGGTTGGGAAATAAGCCAAAGCGTATTTCTGTGTTTGACAGACTGGGCCCGCAGCCGAAAAATTTGAAGTCGCCTGTCTATGAAAGATTAGGCAGTAAAAAGCAAGAGTACCAGATTGCCAAGGAAGAAAGTATTACTCCAATAAAGAAGAACGGACCAAGAAAGCGAGTCTCCAATTTCTTCATGCACTATGGAGACTTATTCAATGTAAGAATTGAAACCATTTTTGAGGAACCGGGTCAAGAAAGTTTGGCTTCCTGTCACCATATTACGATCAGTAATCCCGAAAAAGAAGAAGAAGATGCAGACGACGCTCCCCCTGAACTTGAGCAAGGGGTAAAAAATACGGTCGATGAGCTAAAAGAGATTAACCTTGGCACAAGCGACGATTCTCGCCCAATTTACATAAGCTCTTGTATGACTCCTGAAGAAGAAAAAAAGTATGTTGATTTGCTGCTCGAGTTCAGGGACGTCTTTGCTTGGAATTACTCAGAAATGCCTGGTTTGGATCCAAGGGTCGCCGTTCATAATTTGTCCGTCAAGCGGGGAACAAAACCTGTCAAGCAAACGCAAAGGCGCTTTCGGCCCGAATTGATTCCCCTGATAGAAAATGAGATAAATCGATTGATTGAAGCTGGATTTATACGAGAAGTAAAATATCCAACATGGATTTCAAGCATCGTCCCTGTAAGGAAAAAGAATGGGCAAATTCAAGTTTGTGTTGACTTTCGAGATTTAAACGAGGCTTGCCCCAAAGATGATTTTCCTCTCCCCATCACAGAATTGACGGTAGATGCTACAACCGGACATGAAGCACTATCTTTTCTCGATGGATCGTCTGGCTACAATCAAATACGCATGGCGCCCGAGGATGAGGAGCTAACTGCCTTCCGCACCCCAAGGGAATTTATTGCTATAAAGTAATGCCGTTTGGCTTGAAAAATGCTGGAGCAACATATCAAAGGGCAATGCAAAGAATTTTTGACGATATGCTCCATAAAAATGTGGAGTGCTATGTCGATGATCTTGTGGTGAAATCAAAGAAGCGGGAAGATCATATTCAAGACCTTCGAAAAGTTTTTCAACGCCTTCGGAGATACCAACTGAAGATGAATCCTTTGAAGTGTGCGTTCGGAGTCACTTCTGGCAAGTTTCTCGGTTTCATCGTTCATCAGCGAGGAATAGAAGTCGATCGATCTAAAATTGATGCCATCGTGAACATGCCTGAACCGCGAAATATTCATGAATTGAAGAGTCTTCAAGGGAAGTTGGCTTATATCCGCAGGTTTATCTCTAATTTGGCCGGGCGATGCCAACCCTTTAGTCGACTGATGAAAAAAGGGGTACCTTTCGAGTGGGATGAATCGTGTAGGAATGCTTTTACAAGCATCAAAGCATATCTCATGAATCCCCCAGTGCTGGCTGCGCCCATTCCAGGGAAACCGTTGATTCTCTATATCTCCGCTCAAGAACGGTCGGTTGGGGCCTTACTTGCTCAAGAAAATGATGAAGGTAAGGAGAATGCACTGTATTACTTGAGCCGGATGATGACGTTTAATGAGTTGAACTACTCGCCCATCGAGAAGTTGTGTTTGGCACTTATATTTGTCATTCAGAAGTTGAAACATTACTTTCAAGCACACACTATTCGACTCATATCTAAGTCTAATCCCATTAAATATGTCATGGCAAAACCTGTACTGTCTGATCGACTCGCGAGATGGTACCTCCAGTTTCAACAGTTTGAAATTATTTACGTACCTGCGAAAGCTGTCAAAGGACAAATATTGGCAGACTTTTTAGCCGATCATCCACTACCTGCCGAGTGGGAGTTGACTGATGAACTTCCCGATGAAGAAATGTTTATGGTCGATTCGTCGTGGTCAATGTATTTCGATGGAGCTGCCCACCGTGATGGAGCTGGTGCGGGAGTTGTCTTTTATACTCCTGAAACAGATATATTGTCATACTCTTTCACTTTAACACGCCGGTGTTCCAACAATGTGGCTGAATATCAGGCGTTGATTCTCGATCTCGAAACGGCTGTAGACATGAAACAGTTGCATCTTAGAGTCTACGGTGATTCAAAATTGGTGGTAAATCAACTTCTTGGTGTTTATGATGTCAAGAAACCCGAATTGATCTCATATTATAAGTATGCAAGACAACTCATGGGATATTTAGGTAATGTCACTATAGAACATATCCCAAGAAATTTCAACCAACAAGCTGATTCTTTGGCAAGGGTGGCGTCCATGATCACTCTACCTTCTCATCGAAATCAAATTTCAATATGCCAAAATTGGGTCATACCTCCGATGTTTGATGAAAATGATGATGGTGAGGAAGAAAATACTTATCATATTTTTGTCCATGAGATCGAAAAGGAGGATTGGCGTCACCTCATCATTGATTACCTTAATCATGGGAAGTTACCAGAAGATCCTAAGAAAAGGGTTGATATACGTCGTCGAGCACCAAGTTTCATTTACTACAAAGGGACGCTTTACCGAAGGTCATTCGATGGGGTGTTTCTACGATGTCTTGGAGAAGATGAGGCCATGCAAGCAATGGAGGAGGCTCACTCTGGGATATGAGTGGTAGAGCTGCATGAATGAGTCAATACATATGAAATAGAAGTGAAAAAGCATGGACACATATTCACCATTTAAAGGAAACAGTGATCATGATAATTAATGTTACTGAAGATAAAACCTAACCGCAGATGTGTGTGTGTGTGTGTGTGTGTGTGAGAGAGAGAGAGAGAGAGAGAGAGAGAGTATGACAAGAATAGCAGAAACATTTCTGCATGCAATTCTTCCCCGCCCAACCCCACCTTCCTCTTGAATATTCCTTCGGTTTGAGCTATATATACAACTATAATGTCATCTAAATGTATCAAAAGGAATTACATAACTAAGGATCTTTTACTATGCTCCCCCTCAAGCTAAGAAAAGATGTTATTCATATTCAGCTTGTTTAACATCTCCTGAAACCTTATCCTAGGTAGCTCCTTAGTAGATATATCAGCAAGTTGAATCCTACTTGAGTATTGGGGAAGCACAATAACCGTGATACAAGCCTTTCACAAATAAATGGCTTACTCAATCTGTTTGATCCAGTAATTTTGCACTAGGTTGTTTCACAATATAAAGAGCAGCTCTATTGCCAGAATAACAGTTTATTGACTGTTCAAAATTCATTTCAGTTCCTAAAGCAGAATTGTCTTCCAATCATTTCCAAACACCTTGCTACATGGCTCTATACTTCACCCTTGCAGTGGAATATGCAGAAATGCATAGCATATTATCTCCAGTTCACAAGGTCTCCCTACAAAAGTACATAATAGTTCTTTCCAAACACAACATCCCTAAGCTTCAGTATGTAGCTCCTGTTGATTATGAAATATTAAATCTCTCCCCTAGATAAGTTATAGAGTTATGAGTAGGTGAATAACTTGATGGTTAAAACCTCCGACTATGCATGAGTTGAGAAACTGCACCAATTGCAAATTCTACAATAGCCTTTTAACAGATACAAGTGCATGATAATAAATGACTATATCTGTAAGCATCAATGATTGTTACTGCATTAAACCAATTTAACTCTAAATGAAGCTATATTAGATTAATTGCAGCAGCTGGCCGAATTCCCTCCTATTCGAGAAATTAAGGGAATCTTACTTAATACAAATTAAAATGACATCTTCGACTTGCAACTTTGAACCCTTTAGATATACACCAGCAGCCTTTTTAATCTCAACTTCAACAGTGAGGCCTGTCCTCACGTCTTATTTGACTAAGACAATTCCTGTGACCATTGTATCACATCAATTATTAAGAGCAATCAGCTGTTGTTCTATAAGAAGAGCATGTCATGCATTTAACCGGATGGCAATTGTAGCTCTGCATAAACATTCCCACCATCCTCTAGGAGATTTCTTTAATCCATAATAGGACTTCTTTACATATACACACATTGCATGCCACCACATATCCAGCAGGAAGATCCATTCCACAAATAAGAAATGCCTTTAAATTGTACAAATGTAGCTCCTATTCAAAAAGCTTCCAAACAGAAAAACCAGATTATGGTTTAGTTTTGCTACTAAAATAAGCATCTCTTTGTAGTACTTGCTTCTGATTTTATCCTTTTGCAATCAGCCGCCATAGTTCTCCAGAGATGAGTTCTCATAACATGATGATGTACACCTACTTGCTTCCAACGTAGTTTGACCTTTGGCAGATCAACCCATTCCCAACTGCCATTTTTCCCTAAAAGTACTCCTCATCCATTGCTCCACATCATTTGACATCAACTTGCCTCTTATTAACTCGAAGGAGGTGATGCAAAGTAAAGGGTAACAAGGAGATGGTGGTCAATATAAATAAACAGGAAATTGGATGTTGAGAATACTTTTATAACACTTTTGCAGTTATCATCTGATGGGTCACAAAAACTATAAGATTTAGTTGTAGTAATTTAAAGGAGAAATATCAGCATAACCACCTAATAAACTTCTCAAGAAGATGTTGTCATTATCTAAAATTATCAGCAACCTGTTTCTTTTTTAGTAGATCAGCAATTATCTCATGTTAGTCTGAGTAGTAGGCAGTGTATAGTAAATTCTAATACTATAATTCTCCTTGAAACTACATGAAGGGGAATGGTGAGAATATCCTGATTCTGAAACACAACAGTAATCTAAGTTGATGATTTACACCAACAGACTCCTCCCCACCCATGGATGCTTAATGTACCTTCGGCTCATAAAATCTTGACTACCAAGATGCCTACCACGATACCCACCTTGCCATCATACACCATGTCACTTTTCCTATTTTTCACAAAAGAGCCTCAATTGACCAACTGAAAGGACTGCATGACCATCTCCATCTTTTGTTGCACTAAAATTGGTGAGAAGTGGCAGTACAAAGGCAGGGTTGTAATCTCCCACTTAAGCCTCAAATAGCCCGGGTGTTTTATTGATTTGAATTTCAACTCCACCGACAAATTTATGCCAAAGCAATTTTCAGTCATTTTCTACAATTATAAATCTTGCAACTAAATATTACTACAGAAAAACCATCAAAAAAGAAAATTCTATTGCACATGAAAAAAGTTCAATGTTGCGGGTGGCAAATACGTTCTTGAACTAATCCTCAACAAAAGCACAGTCAAGGTACATAAATTAGACTAATTTATTTTAAGAACTTTATATTACAGTGACTTCTATACTGTTAGAACATTCATGGTAGGGAACTTAAAACAACAGAACATGTAACAGGAAAAGCAACTCTAAGACCAAGACACAGATTACAAGGCACGGCACGACATAATTTATTACTGTGATTATGCGATGATTACATGTACAAGTCGAAATGTATTAAGTTGAGAACAAAAACAACACTTCCATCACAGTTATTTCACGTCAAAACGACAAAGATCAGATGAAAACTCATGTTTAGTTGTTCATAGCACTATTAAGCAGGGTAGAGAATAGTTAAAAGACAATGTCGGACTCTTACCTGAAGAGTAAAAGCCTCCAAAGGAATTGGATCCAATGTCGTAACCACATATACATCATTAAATTCGTTGTTAATGAATGTACCACCATTTATCACACTGCACAAAAAAGCGGTGAGAATTCATGGTTTCCAGTAATAGGACATGAATATTGTATCAAGAAAATATATCATCCAGCTAAAACAAATTCCAAGAAGCTGTAGTTAGGTACTGGAGACTATATTTCTATAGAATCTATAAAATAAGGAGAGTAACCTGAAATTACTTACGGTTGAAATGGGAACTACACCACCTCAAAAACACATTCTTTTGGCACAAAAAATAGTCAAACCTTTATTGTTATTCTCGTACATTTTTTAAACCATGGATATCAAAATAGTCAGATTATGTAGACCTGTAATGGATATAACTGAAAAAAAAAAGAAGAAGAAATCTGGGCCACGACATGGAAGTTACTATGTTAGCATAGACATAAGTCTCAGGACAATAACTTCCATATCTTTCACGAAGACGGACACTGAATAACAGATACAAGAAAGCCCCATTTCTGTCTTTTCCTTTTGGTCCTTGATTTTTCCCTCATTTTCTGTTTACCCCATTCCTTTTACCACGTACATTCCTTTCCTCCTATACTGATCCTAAAGTTACACATATCACATTCAGAGAATAATCAATCACAGAATAATAAATTATGCAAATGCAGATGTTTTAAGAACAAGAGCGTTTTTAATGGAATGAGGCTGGCATGGAAAAAGGCTTTTGCAGAAATAAACATGAAATGTGAAATAATTGACTTAAATTACTCATTACTAGTATGGAACATATAACAGGAGGATCCAAACATAATCACCACAAGCAGAGAAAAATATTCTGAACATTACTGGCAAGTTTTCATCTCATACTTATCTTTATTTCTGAAAAGAGGCACCTGTCTTTGTCAGATCATATATTAACACAATTAACAAAGATAGAACTTTTAGAAGCAAGTTTTCATCTCATACTTAATCTTTATTTCTGAATCTTTGTCAGATCATATATTAACACAATTAACAAAGATAGAACTTTTAGAAGCAGCAGGATGGGATGAAAATTAGAAAGGAAGAGCATCAATCGCCAAAAGGAAAAGAAATGAGAGGAAAAAAAATAGTTTTCCAGGAACCCTCATAACTAATAACTCAACAGAATGACATCAATATCTCTCTCATAAGCACGCTCAAGTAAAGATTAGGCTGAATTGTTGTGGTTCTTTATCCTGATATTGATAAAGAGAAGAACAAGATCCATTCAATTTCACAGGCTCCACAATCAGAAAAACTTCCTCAACATGTATAGAGTTACACCTCTCAGACATGTAAATAGGAGAACAGACTATGTACTTATGCTATACTTTACCTGGCAAATCCTAACTATGCCCTGAGCCAATCTTGTTTTTCATCTTTTTTCTCTCTTACATGTTTCTTCAAAACACCTTGTGTCTCAATTTACAAATGTATAACTTACCAACAGAAATTTCAAAATGAAATAATTTGAAATAAGACAAGTTACGGTAAGTCAAAATCAAATCTAGTGTCCATACTTTCAACCAAGAGAAGAGAATTCATACCGGAAAATTGCATAAATCTGGACACTGGATAAATTTCGATGATGCAAGAAAGACTTATTTGGATGAACAAAATAAGACTTAAGACTATCTAATAAGATGTTTGTGCTAACCACTCTTGAAGGAAAACAAAAATCAATTCAAAGGCGTCCTTTGGAAGTAGTATCCCAAGCTCTTCATGAAGCTCCCTCCTGAGGCAAGCAAAACTTCTATATCAAGCTGACGCCAACGGAAAAGAAATTTCAAACCAGAAGAGAAGAGTAAATAAAAAGGATCAGAAAAATCATATCAAAATCCTGGTCATTAAAAGAGTTAAATGCATGAAACACTTCATGCACTTACAAAATATGTAGGTGGTTATTACATACACATTTATAACTTGCCCATGCTCATGTGATAAATAGTACAACCAGAAAATTCCCTATATTAAAATGAGGTCTAGTATGCTATATCATTTTTCTATACTACTAGAGACCGCAAGCATCTTTTGTATATAGCTTTCGAATGCAGCCCACTCAAACTTCAGCATAGGTATAGGGATAGAGTTGAATCACAGATAAATGCTCTCAAACAGTGCTAATCTGAAGTTGTTTGAAACAGGAGAAGAGGTTGGACAACCCACCAACTTTCAAATCCTACTATAAGGAAATAACTCAGTTTAAGAAACATCCACGATTGACTGTACATGCTTTGGCAGTCTTGTGTTTGGCCATTGGAGGAGTGCACTTAAAGCATTCCTGGTTGGAATTCTCCAATAAATTGTAATCTCTGTGGAAAAACAAGCTATAGATTCCAACCAAATTAGGCTTTAAACTTGTTCTCCTGAAATTTTTAACAGCTTTGCTGCTAATACAAAAATTCTCTAAAATAACACATTACCTAGTTGATTATTTTCTCATGTTTACTTTGATGTTGATCCTATAGCAACTTCTTTCTTTCATCAGATCTAAAATTAGCAGGTTACCCTCATACTCCAAAATGAAAAAACAAATGAATTAGTTATATTCCACATCAAGGACTTGAGCTGCAAATAACTTATGACTTAAAGTTGTCGAATAAGAACTCTACAAATGAATTAGTTATATTCCACATCAAGCACTTGAGCTGCAAATAACTTATGACTTAAAGTTGTCGAATGAGAACTCTAATTGTTTTATAAGATTTAATGGAAGATCATGTAGGTTGTCAAACATGTCAATCAGAAAGTGGTGGATCCCAGACTCAGAGAATGAAAATGGGGAGTGACTATCTGGAATATAAAAGAGCCCATGTTAGGCCAGTTTTGTGCTAGTGTAGCAATAGAAACTCAGGGAAGCTTGCAGTGAACATAAATTTCAATAAGTAGAATGAGTATTGTGTGTAGGCGCATGTCTATAGCATGTATATAAATTCATTAACATACATTGCTGAGAATAGGGAAGAATCGCCAGCAGATATATGACCAGCACTAGATATATCCCACAACCCAGGCCATGAATCCTTACAGTCAGCACGTTGTTGAAGAAGTAATTCATGAGTACTCTCGGAATATATCCACACATGAACAGCTCCATGGTAGTCCCCGTCTCTATGAACATCTCCCCTATGCAAGTAACAAAACCTTAATCCCAAGACATCAGAAAAGAATTATAAACATTACAAATTCCTTGATCATTGTGTAAATTTAGACATCCTACTTCCTCTGTGCTTCCATTGGTAAATGCATGTATCTAAGAACCTCTTTGCGTACATATAGCCAGATAATGTGGAATAAGGATTTTGTTCAGTTGATTCAAATGTGATCATAACAAGCTTCTGACAATGCGAAAGCAGTCAAAATGCCACTAAACTCCATCAGTACCTAACCAATACATTCTCACACTCAGGTGATGTAACCTATAACATAAACTTTAATGGCATGTTCTGGAGGATTGATGAGATGTAATCCGCCCATATCATTCTACTACCACCAGCAATTCAAGTGCAAAAACTAACGGATATGAATAAATAAAATTTCAGATTTACACGGAAAAAGAAACATGGTATTGTTTCCTGACCCAGAACTTAAGCAATAACAAATATTAAGTGCTAGATAATCTAAGAATAACTGTCCACAAATTTCACAAGAACCCTGCTACATACACACAATTATGTCTCCCTCTTCTTTGGTGCTTATAGTAAAGCATCGACAAAACCATGTCGTTCAGGAAATTAAAACAACTTAAAATAGCCATCAAAGACCTCCCTTGTCAAATATATTATCTCCCACTTCAAAAAACCAAAGACTCCATCATTTCTGCCCCATCAGAAATCCAAATACAGGAATATATGTGGTAGAGTAAACAATAACAAAGTTAAAGTTACTCCAGCAATTAAACGCTAAGAACATCTAAAAAGTTTTCCTTTTTGGCACTATTCAGCAACTTTTATTACCATAATTTAAACAATTGCAATCAAAGTTTTCAATTGATTTTCTTATTGTTATTTCACTTTTCTGATCTGCGATTTCCACAAAAGCCAATAAGTTCATTGAATTCTTGATTTCTTAGGATTCTTCACTTCTTTGTTGATATGAAGAGAGGGAGGAATTAATCACCTGGGTTTTGAAATGCCAGTTTTCTCACGAGTTTTAGTGAGGACATCAAGGTACTCTTCTTGTTTGAGTACCGCATCTTCTGCTCCTGCTGCAGCCATTATTTCTTTCTTTTGTTTTCTTGGAAAACGAAAGCTCCAATTGAAAATGAAAGCTCACTAAAGTCCAACTTTGTGTTAAGGATACACGTTGATAAGAAACAAATTCGCTGCGGGAGAATTGCAGTTTTGGTGGCCTATGTATCAAATTAGTCCTTAATATTTTGATTAAAGTCACTTTAGTCCCCAAATTTTGTGATTTTAAGACAGATTTAGAGTAACTAACAGAAATGAAATAAATGATTAAAGATCAAGATCAACTGCTATTAGTCAACAACTTTGATTTTACACTTTTGGTCTCCAATGTTTTAATTTTAAATCATTATATTTCCCTAAATTTTAAATAGTGATATTAAATGTTTTAGCATTCATTGAGATGCAAATTAGAATGATATAACATTAAATGGGTGATAAGAATTCTAATTAAACTTCCTTTTCTTCTTATTTTTATTTTTATTTTTATTTTGTTCATGCTAATAATATATCAAATGGTTATTTTTTTATATAGTTAGTCTCAAATTTGCTATAATACATGTATATTATTGTTTCTCACTATTCATAATTAATTGATAATGAGTTTTATTATCTTTATTTCTAATAATAATTAAAACTTTATTAAATATCCCTTTAGATATAAGGAATGTATGCTTTTTGTAAACTAAGTTGATATGCTTTTTGTAAATTAAGTTGCTTTTTTTAACATTAATAAGTTATCAATTGAGTTTGAAATGAAGTCAGCATTTTATACACATTATATGAACCATTAAATGATTATCAAGGTACATAGATATTAAAATAAATGCTTTAAAACTACAATATTGAAATGTTAGATTTTAAGTGGCAAGAAAGACAACAAAAAATAAAAGGTAATTTTCTTAAGAATTTTTAAAATTACTTCACATTGATACCCACCATCACTAGTTTTTATAAGTAAAATGGGTATCTACAAAAATTTAAAGTGCACGTGTACAAGGCACAACAATTTTTGTAGTAGTAACTATAATAAAATTAGATTATAGGGAGAAAATTTATGATAATAAACTTAGATTATGGGGAAAAAACTATAATAAACTTAGATTATTATTGATACTTTTACAAAAATTATTACATGTCTTGTGCACATAAGTCTCATATTCTTGTAGTTAGCCATTGTACTTATAAAAACTAGTGCACTTATAAAAACTAGTGATGATAAGTATCAATATGAAGTGATTTAAAAAATTGTTAAGAAATCTATCTTTTTTTTTCTTCTTTCTTGCCATAAAACTAAAAGTCCAATATTGTTTTAAAGCATTTATTTTAATATCTATGTACCTTGATAATCATTTAATAGTTCATATAATGTGTATAAAATGTCAACTTCATTTCAAACTCAATTGTAACCTATCAAAATTCCAATAAAAATATCAACTTAATTTACAAAAAGGATATATTTCTTATATTTTTAAAAGATAATTAATTAATTTTTAAATTATTATTAGAAAAATAAAACTTATTATGAATTAATTATTGTAAGAAATAATAATATAAACATATTATACTAAATTTGATACTAACTATGCAAAAGAAATAAACATATGATACATTATTAGAATGAATAAATAAAAAAGAAGAAAAAAAGTATAATTAGAATTTTTATTACCCATTTAACACTATTTCAGTCTAATTTACATCTCAATTCATGCTAAAATCCTTAATATCACTATTTAAAATTTAAAAAACTATATAATGATTCAAAATCAAAATATTGGGAACCAAATGTGCAAAGTCAAATTTTGTGACTAATGGCAATTTGATATTGCCGTTAGTCATTGTTCTATTTCTATTAATTGTCCTAAATCTGCATAAAATTACAAATTTTGAGGGTTAGATTTATTTTGAACGAAACATTAGGAACCAATTTGGCACACAAGCCAAATATCAGGGATTAGGACTATAATTCTCGCACATTTGGTTTGTATATAAAGTAGTCCTTATTGTTTTTAGGGTAAAATGCCAAAAACCCTTACGTGGTTTGCTGAATGTTCAATTTATCCCCTTTTGATTTGAAATTCTAAACTTTAACTCCCTGTGTTTTCAACTAAACCAAAAGTGAGACGGAAAATATCTAAACTAACAATTGAATGGAAAATGTCATAGTTGCCCTTGTATAAATGACTACATCAACAGAATGTTTCGTCATTTTGGCAATTCAAAGAATGGAGAGAGAGAGAGGGAGGGAGGGAGGGAGGGAGGTGAAGCTTTGGAGGAAACCGTAGGAAGACATAATGATAGCGAGATAATTTTGCATGTTATTTATTAATATTCTATCTTAATTTTGGCCAAATATTATGCTAATTGATGGATTTTGTTTATATTTGGTGTTTTGTGTTGTTATAGGACTTTAGAGTAGAAAATGACACTTCAAGTTAAATTTTTCAGAAGACTATTTGCTCCAAAACGTGCCCACGCCAGAGATTGAGAAGTTGAAAATTGGAGATGAGACCCGGAAATTATCTCTAAAATTTGGAATTATCTTTTGGATGTTTTGTTAAGAGCTTTTATTAGAATAGGGAACATGCTTAGTTAGTATTTTATTTTCGGATAAGTTAGTTTCAGATGAGTTTTTGAAGTTGATTAGGAGAGGAAACAAATCAACTTACAGTTGGAAACGTTTTCTTGATAGGCTCCTTGGTGACTTGAAAAAAGGAAGGAGACTAGTAGTTCATTGGGCTTCTTTTCCGTCTTTTCAAATAACATTTAGTAGGTTTCTTTCTGTTTTACAAGTTTTACAAAAACAAGACTTGTAGAAAGACTTTCATGGAGATTTGTGGCTACGTTTTCTTCATGGAGCAGAGCTAAATTTATGTCTAGTTGAAGAGTAATCAAGGCACGGTTTCATGATCAATTGTGAGATCTTTTAATTTTTTATGTGCTTAATTTTATATGTCATGAGTATTTAATTATTTCCTGTATTTCACTGGTTACTATCATTTGGGTTTAGTTGAATAATTTGGCCAACTATTCAATTGTCTGAATGATTTAATGCCAATTAAGACATCAAGTTCGTAATATTTGATAGTTTAATATTAGTGACAGATGGCGCAATTTCATTACTTCACAAGTTGTCTAATTTGTACTATGGAAATAATTAATCTAGTTTAAATGAACTTGCATGTGTGTTTGTTAACTAGAATTGGGTCTCTCTAATATTTAAATCCTAGGTTGTAAATAGATAAAATCCTATGAGCATCACTAGGATTATTAACTTTACAAGGGAAGTAGTTAATAAGCATCTCTTGACTATCGAGAAATTAAGAAAAGATTGGTAGTTCGGCGGTTGTTGAATTGCTATAAATAATTTATTTGTGAACATACGAGTTATTTTCTAGTATTAGTGATCAATTGAGTTGAACCGTTGCCAAGATTATTTCCTTGACTTGATTTTGCTAACTAATTTATTCTTTAATTTATATTATTGCATTTTACCATTTTATTTAATTTAATTATAATTTTAAAGAAATTCTACAACTTTTCCCCTCAATATTCATCGCATTTCTCTGTGAGTAATAAATCTACCAGTTCTCTAAGAAGATACTTATTAACTTTTGGGAGTAGGTAATTTTATTTTTGGTGATTTGACACCCACCAAATTTTTGCGCCGTTGCAGGGGAACTGGTGCTTAAAATGATTTGTTATTTTACATTTTGATTATTCTCTGCTTTATGCCTTGATCTTCCTGTATAGGAAACCTTGAATTTGATCCGGAAATAGAGAAAAGAGCCAAGAGATTGGCTTAGGAAGCTAAATTGTGTAAGCAACAAGATTCATCACCATTTTCTCCTAGACTTGACTTGGTTGTCGACTTACGCAGATCATTTCGTGATTTTGAAGAGGACGTAAGTGGATTAGAGGAAGTGATGGCAGCTCGAAGGACTTTGAGGGAACTCGCAACTCCAAATGTTAACCAGCAACCACTATGCATCACATATCCTGAAACCGAGGAAGCTTTCGAACGTAAATCTGGTTTAATTCATTTATTGCCTACTTTTCGTGGTATTGCAGGTGAAGACCCATATAAACATTTGAAGAAGTTTCACGTAGTGTGTTCAACTATGAAATCTCAAGGTATTATGGACGAACAAATCAAGCTGCGAGTTTTTCCTTTTTCTTTGGCAGACAAGGCTAAAGATTGGTTGTATCACTTGCCATCAGGATCTATAACCATATGGGAAGGACTTAAAAAGCAGTTCCTTGAGAAGTTCTTTCTAGCTTCCAGGGTTGCTAACGTTAGGAAGGACATATATGGTATAAGGTAGACCATAGGAGAATCTCTCTACGAATATTAGGAAAGGTTCAAACAATTGTATGCTAGTTGCCCACATCACTAGATACCCATCTAGCTATCGATTCAATATTTTTTATAAAGGATTGTTACCAATGGCTAGAAGCATGGTAGATGCAGCTAGTGGTGGTGCTCTAGTCAATAAAACAACAGATGAAGCACAATGTTGATTTCTAATATGGCGAAAAATTCTCAACAATTTGGTACTAAGACAGAGGGAGTGACTAGAAGGGTAAATGAGATAAATCATTCTGATCTTGAAAATTGACTATCTGAACTAATTGTTTTGGTTCGCCAAATGGCTGTAGGACAATTGTAGATAGCTAAAGTATGTGAAATTTGTACGGCTCTCGGACACCCAATTGACATGTGTCCGACTCTTCAAGAAATTCTCATGAGCAGGCAAATGCTGTAGGAGGTTTTTCAGGACCACCGCAAATGAGGAATGATCCGTATGCACCTACATACAATCCAGGGTGGCGAAATCACCCCAACTTCAGCTATGCTCCAAAATCGTCAAATTTTTCACAACCCTTTCAAGCAAGACCACCAGTGCAGCAACCATCAACTTCTAATACAAGTATGTCACTTAAGGACATGGTTAAATCCCTTACTAATAGTACTTGTCAAATGCAATAGGAGTCACAGAGATTTCAACAAGAAACCTGAGCTAGCATTAAAAATTTGGAGACACAAATGTTGCAACTAGCATCTTCAATGAATAATTTTGAGAATAATAAAACTAAACTACC